GGAGCGGCCGGCGCACCGCACGCTGAGAGCATGGCACGTGAGGGGCCGGACCTAGAAAAGGGACACCGCGTGGGACGTCAATCTTCACTGCAGCGACCGCCACCGAATTCGGATGTGCTCGCACCTTCTGCGGTCCCTGTTCCTCCCCTCACTTACTTCTGTGCCGAGGACTGTGCCGCGGGATCCAGCAGCGCGATGTTTGGCCGCAGGAACATGGCCCGAACAAATGATTTGTGGGAGGGGGATGTGCACTGCGACGAGAAGGAAAAAAATGTTGCGAGACGACCACCACCACAAGACCGGAGTGAAGTTGTGTTTTGTCCACTTGCGCGAGGGCGGCTTGCCACCTGGTCGGTTGGGAGGATTATTTTTTTGCGTCTTTGCGCTCTATTTTTATTCCGCTGCGTTTTATTGCGGACCTGCGAAGGGAGATTTGCAAGAAATTCCTGCGAGGCGTCCGTGCCGTCGTCGGAAAAGCGGATTCCCCCTTGTAAAACGCTACCTTTTAAATTTGTTTTGGGCGGGGAGTTCCTGTCGATTCAACGCGACTTTGTTTTGCGGATTTGATGCGTGTGTTTCCGAGCGGTTCGATCAGTGCTCCCAGCCCACTCGGATGTGGTGTGCGCGTCGACGTGAAGGTGCCTGCCAGCCGTTTTATTGCCTCCCCCGCTGTGGCTGCCGCCGCTGCCTTCCTCTCTTCCTGAGGTCCTGCGGCTTCTTGACAAGATGTTTTGGAGAAGGCGTTGCCGCTCTTATCGTCCATGATATTTTGATTCTGGTGTCGCGGTCAGGAGACATTGAACGAGAGGGTTTGCTGGCCTTTTGTTTTGCTTATCCTCTCTGCCTGACGACCAGTTCTACACAAACGTGCTTCTCGGCACCTCAGTTGGAGCTGGCGGGTTTGCTCACAGTCGTCACTGGCAATCGCATGTGCCAACTCTTCTCTGCTCCTTTTCAGTGTTGCATTTTTTTATTGATTGACGGACGCCATTCTGTCCGGCGTGCCACTTTGATTGGATTGTGTGGGACTGCTTGCTAACGCCATCGGAGAAGGCAGGCCGACTTTTTCACGTATTTAATTCCATCTTGCGCGCAGGTATTTTTCACATGTTCTGTTGGGCACTCAGACAGCGAGGTGTCCGGAAATATGCGTGCGTGGAATTCTTCCTGCCATGTGAACTGCGGGCAACACCGAGGGGCTGCCACTTTGACTCCGCAGAGTTGTTGTGTCTCTTTGCAGGGCTGGCAGGGAAATTCCATGCAGCCTGCTACTGCTGGTGTGTCCCCAAATGTTGTCACTCCATGCGAATAATGTGCTTCATCGAGTGAGGGTGTTGATTGGGTTTGTGTGCAATCTGATTCTGTTTGCCACTTTGTGCGGGCACGCAACACTTGAGTGGTGGGAAAATGGAGCGGGGCGATGCATGGCTGCGTCTCGCCCATCGTTCACTGCACGGTGGTGTGGTGCACATTGTGGTGCTGACTCTGCGATGTGACTGCGGTCTCCTGCGCGGCAATGGTGGTGGGTGGAGGAGAGTGTTGACCCGCGGCGGGACGGTGGGATCGTGCCTCCTTTTCTCTTTGTTCCTTCCCTTTTGTGAAGGTGTGCACTTATTTTTTGTGTCGGTGATGGGGCAAACAGACGGACAACGTGAATAAAACAAAATGAAAAAGGGCGATGGTGTGGCGGTGTTGGGGTTGGTTGCACGCCTCGCGTTGCTGCGGAGGCGGTGGGCCTCGGCTGCTTCACCGACAGGCGTTGCAGTGCGGCTGCATGGCGCACCGACCACCGAGCCGTGCGAGTGCCACGCCCAACGCCATTGGGACAGCGGGACGAAACAGCCGCGAGTGTCCTTTGGAGCCAGCGGCACCTGCTGGCCGCAGTTGGGCGGTGCGAGTGGGCTGCTTCACCACACGGGTGTTGTGATGGCACCTCGCTGTGGCTCTTGTGATGGTTCCGACGCTGCAGCTCGACATGTGGTGGGGAGTAAAGTGTGGCCGCAGTGGACCATGAGCAGCACCAACGTGAGGCTGAGTGATTTCCTTTGGAATTATGTTGGCTGCAGGGCGGCCGTTGATGAAAGACTACAA